TATCAGGCATATCCTGGTTTCCATCACTTTCAAAAACGAAACCTTCAATTGCAAATGTCAAAGAAATAAAAGTAAGCAAAAAAAAAAAAAAAAGCCAAGAAAAATCATGATGAACTTGAGTGTGTGTGTGTGTGTGTGTGTGTGTGTATGCTATTTCAAAATAATTTCATCAGGAATCAAGTAACACAGAGTAATGAGTTAGTAGTAAAATGAAGTGCCATAAACCATTCTGACAGTCACTAACATTATGAAAACAGCTCTTCCTATCAGAGAATTCCCATAGCGTGAAAGTCAAATACAGCACAATACATATGCAATACGAGATCATAAAAAGATTCAGGGTCTGCTTTTCAAAGATCAGGTTCTCAGAGAAGGATAAGAACTAAGCTGTAAAAATGCAGTCTGAATTCCACTTGAATACTATCATCCCAATCAAATGAGAGGCACCTGTTACTCTTTTGACATTTTGAGTTCAGTTCTTTCATTGTCTACTAAGCTTGAAGTAATTCTCAATTTTAAAGCAGGTATAAAAGGAGAAGGTATAAGAAGAGGGTGTCAGGCAAAACAACTACAAAGTTGATACTGACAAACCCTAGGGATAAATGAGCTCTGGAGCCAGAGACCCCAAGTTCAAATTTCACTTTCACCACTTACCAATCTTGTCATTTTAATAGTTCACTTAATTTACCTATATTTCATTTTCCTCATTCTGTATAACAGAAACAAAACAGTACCAACTTCCTATGTAAAGTGGATTGGACAATCCTGACTCATTGTAAACACTATAGAGATGTCAAGGAGTGCTATCAGTAGTGTTAGTTTCTTTACTAGTTTTGGACTGTATATTACGTGAGAGGGAAAATTACAGCACATGCCCAGACTCCAGTCTACCATTGGACACCAGGAATTTTGTTCATAGTTCAAAAATTATATCATTTCAGCTGATGTCTCCCACCTGGATCCTCTAGGAGCTCGTAATCAAATCAAATCACCAAGACCATATCATAGAAGATGAGAAATATAAAGAAGCATAATTCAATATACAGTTTATCTATACAATGGAAAATTATTCAGCCTTTAAAAGGAATATAGTTCTCACATGTTACAACACGAATTAACTTTGAAAAAATTATGCTAAGTGAAAGCAGCCAGTCACAGATGAACAAATATCATCACACTACTTTAACTACATGAGGTACCTAGAATAGGCAAACTCAGAAACTTAAGGCAGAATGGAGCTTGCCAGAGCAGGAGAGAAGAGGAAAATGAGAATTAACTGTTTAATGCTTAGTGGGTGCAAAATTTCTTTCTTTCTTTTTTAAGTGACCTTTTTTTTTCTTTAAATATTGTTTTTAGTTGTAGATGGACAATACCTTTATTTATTTGTTTATGTGGGGCTGAGGATAAAAACCAGTGCCTCACACATGCGAGGCAAGCACTCTACCACTGAGCCACAATCCCAGCCCTCTTTCTTTCTTTTTTTTTTTTCCCCCTCTTTCTTTTTTTTAAATGGTACTGGGGATTGAATCCAGGCAAGTTTAACCACTGAGCTACTTTGTATTTTTTGTTTTGAGACAATCTGGCTAAACTGCTGAGACAGGCATTGAACTTGCAATGTTCCTGCCTCAGTCTCAAAAATTGCTGGGATTACAGGTGTGTACCACCATGCCCAGCAAGGACAGAGTTTCTGTTTGGGATGATGAAAATGTTCTGGAAATGGATGATGATGATTGCACAACACTGTGAATATGCTTAATACCTCTGAACTGTATACTTAGGAAATGGCTAAAACTGTACATTTCGATGTGTATATTTTACAATAAAAAGAATCATTAAAAATGTGCAGCACATAAAACACATATGAGCCTTAATGGTATTAATATAAAGGACAAACTACTCATCCTTAGGTTCCTAACTAAGGACACCACAGGAGTCAATATCAACTCTTAACTGACCTTGGTTTAAAGTACACACCTAAAGATGAGTATATATCCTGAAATTTTCATATGGAACATTATTTCACTTTGTTGATTAGGTAACCCTTTTAGCTCCTTAAAGGTAGAAAGGGAAGGAGAACTATACTGAGGACACCCGTGTTTACACAAGGCCAATATAAAGCTCCACTTCAAATACCTCAAGTAAGATAACAAAGACACAATAAAAGTGAATTTAATAAATTAACACCTATCCAGAATGGCTTGGAATGAAGGATTATAGTTAGGATAATTTAACTATCTAATAAACTGGTAATTACCATATCAAATATCATTCAAAGAACAATAATTTTCAAAGAACTAGAATGTAAATTCCAAAGACCTAAAGGCAAGACCAGCCTGATAATAAAAGCAGCACTCATGTAGCCTTGAAATATGCTTAGCTTTGTTCTAAGCTTTTTTTAAAGAGAGAGAGAGAGAGAAAGAGAATATCTTTTTTTTTTTTTTTTTTTTTTTTTTAGTAGATGGGAAAAAAAAAATTCCTTTTTTTTTTTTTTTTTTTTATGTGATGCTGAGAATCGAACCTGGGTCCCACCCATGTTAGGCGAGCACTCTACCGCTGAGCCACAATCCCAGCCTATAAGCTTTTCATATATGTATCAACTCATCTTCTAAGTATTCTTCTCATTCCTATTTTACAAATGATCAAACTGAGGTATATAAGGGTCAGGTATACATGGGACATATACCTTGCATGGGCTCACTGAGCTGCTAGTAACAAGAGACAGAACCAGAACATAAAATCTAGAAGTGTGGTTCTGCCATGTGTATTTTAACCACTTATTCATTATCTGTTGGTGACAATAATAAGGGATGGACCACAAGTATAAGCAAACTCAAAATACAAGGCATTTTAGGAGTCAAATACAATAAAAGTCCCAAAGAAACCACCAGATTGCCACACAAGGTAACACATGATGTCCGTGACTGCATAAAGGAAGGTGAAGTCTGTTCAGTACACTTAATGTTTAAGAAGACAAGAAACTGTTTAGCACTTAAAAAAAAAAAAAAAAAAAATGTAGCCAAAAGCCAATGATTTTCACTTCTACACAAAAGGTAAATACAAAAGGTATTTACTAAGCAATCTTTTTCACCATTTATCTCAGGGATTTGTTTGTCTGTTTGGTTTGTTTTTTGCAGTACTGAGAATTAAACCCAGAGTTCACATGTGGAAGACAAGCACTCTATCAACTAAGAGACATCCCAGCCCTTTCTATTTTTGGTTTTGAAACAGGGTCTAAGTTGCCCAGGCTGGTTTCCAACTTGTCATCCTCCTGCTTCAGCATCCCAGTCACTCAACCATGTGCCACCAAGGTTGCCATTGTGTGTGTGTGTCTCTGTGTGTGTGTGTGTGTGTGTGTTGCATATGCATGCACAGGAGGATCACCAATTAAACTATCCAGGTGTTTTAATTCCAGGAATATGAGAACTTAATAAAAGATACTAGAAAGTGTCAAATCATTCGGATATTTGAGTGAATAAACTCATAGAATTGTGTGTGACTATTATTAAAAAAAAAAAAAAACTACACAGAATCTAGTGTTTGATCACTATTAGAGTTTCTTTAAAAAAAAAAACAAAAACATGAACAGTGGCACATGCCTGTAATCACAGTGACTCAGGAGGCTGTGGCAGCAGGATTGTGAATTCAAAGCCAGCCTCAGAAACTTCGGGAAGCCTTAAAGAACTCAGTGAGACCCTGAATAAAATACAAAATACAAAAACGGGCTAAATAAAATACAAAAACGGGCTGGGGAATGTGCCTTAGTAGTTGAGTTCCCCTGGGTTCAATCCCAGGTATCAAAAGGGGAAAAAAATCCTTTAAGTCATAGGTAGACCTAAATTTTAATGGTGGCTCTGCTATTTAGTTGCTGTAAATATTCAACAAGTCAATTTCACAGATTTTTTTTTCCTCTGTAAATTTGGGGATAAAAATTCCTAACTCGCAAAGCTTTTGTGGGAGCTAAAGAGAAAACACACACAAAGTGATGGACACAGTCCCTGGGAAACAGCAGATGGTCTGACAATGAACAAGAACTATTATTCTCTGCCTTATTCTACTTTGTGCCCCAAATATTAGAAGAATCTAATTTTACCAATCAGCAAATCATTGGCAGACTTCTCAGAATGCGAGGAAGTACGATATACTCCTTTCAAAAATGGAACATACAGAGGGTACTAGAAAACAAAACCATCAAGGAGCCCAAGAATAGCAGAATTCTGCTTCTTACTTCATTTACCCAACACCTACTCCGGTTGGTTTCGTAATAACCCATATTATTCCTGTCGAGCAATATGAATCCCGTGGTTACCATCTAAACATTCCTAGAGAGTCTTGTCACTTTTTCGGGGGCTCCCTTTGCAAGGTAACTGTCCTCATTGCTTGAAAACCAAAAGGAAACCCAGAGGCAAGGAGCATTTTAATGAAATGCTGTTTACTGTTCATGCACCTCGGCAGCTGATTGGCTCCCATGTGGATCATTGTCACAATAGACGTGCACAGTACTGCGCCACCGCCGCCACCGCCAGGCCCCCGGCCCCCGCGAAGACGTGCGCGAGGGCGCCAGCTCCAGACTGCCAGGGAAGGCGCGCTCTTCGGCGACACCCAACTCGGAACTCGGCGCTTCCGACCCGGGTCCCGGGGCGGCGGGAGGGCGTGCGCAGGTGGCAGGAACCGACTCGGACCCGCCAGTCTGCTCAGCACAGGCTGGGGACGCGCGGGACGGGGGACGCGGGCCCGCGGGGAGAGGAGGCGGCCGCAGATGAGGCTGAGGCGGCGGGAGAGCGGGGTCCGGGCCCCTCGCCCGGCCGGGGACTGGGGGGTCCGCTGGGGTGCCCAGGGCGGGTTACCGCCCCCGGAGTCCCGGGAGCTGAGGGGAAGGGGGTCTCTGCTGCCAGAGCAAAAGCGACGCAGGGGCAGGCGTCCGGCCGCCAGCAGGACAGGGCGCTGCTGTCGCCGGCGAGGACGAGAGAAAGGCGGGGACCCAACCCGGGCGCACAGGTTACCTGGCTCGACCGCCTGCCCGCCGGCCTCCACTTCCGCGGTCCCGGGGTTACCACGGGCGACCCGGCACGCGCCGCGTGACGTCATCCGCGCGCGCCCGGCCCGCCCCCCGGGAAGCGCGGGGCTAGGCGGAGCACTACCGGAGTCCGCGCAAGCGCAGTGCGGGCTGGTTTGGGTGCTTTGGAGCGTCGGAGTCCCCTGTAGCCTGGCTGCTCTTGACCGCAGGATCTCCTGGGCACTTAAGAAAAAAACGCTATTGAAATACACGTGTGCACTTCTTATCCCTCGGTCACCTCCGCCGTGTGCAGTGGTGGTGCACACTCGCGCGCTCCAGGGCAGTTGAGCCCCACAGTGTGCCCGCAAGCACTGTTAGAGATCACGGGGACACGGAGGGGTTCGAGACAGAACACGGAGATTATCTTCTACTCGAGGAAGCGGACTTTCAGTGGCTGCAGTATTTTTGCTCTATTTATGCGTTCTTAGAGATAAATGGGTGCAAGGAAAAGTGAATTGCGCAGAAGCTGAAGGAGAGCGGCTGCCTCTTTAATCTGAGCCTTCTAAAGAGGCTCCTTAAAGTGGGATGAGAAGGAGCCAGCTCTGCGAAGATCTGAGGGAAGAGCAGCCACCATAAGGATCTGTGTGTGTTAAGTATGGGGAGGAGGCCACCTGCAGTCGGTGCCCTCGAGAAAGAAGTTAGGGGAAGAACAGAGGATGAGATCAACAAGGCGAGGAGAGGCCTGATCATGCAGAGACGTTCTGGGCTGTTGTAAGGAGCTTGCATCTATTTCAGATGTAGCAGGAAGCTAGTGATGTGAGAGGGACAGGATCTAGCATCATAAGACTATCTGCTGAGTGTGTGTGTCTGGTGACCTGCTGGGAGGCAATGATTGGTGAAGAAAGACAAGTTGCTTTTGCCAAGATCAGGAAAGATGCCATTGAGAGAGATGGACAAGTTTAAGGAATAATTTGGAATAGGTATATGTGACCCGCTCGAGATGGATTAGATGAAGGTGATCAAGAAAAGGAAGGCGTCAGAAATGACTCCTAAATTCTGGGATGAGCAAAATAGCTATATCATACAATACAGACAAGATTTGTTCCTCCTTTCAACCCTAATTCCTTTGCCTCCTTCTCCTCTTACCTCTGACCATCTCCCTCAGTTTCTTTCCCTTAACCCTTTTCCCCCTTGGTGTTATGCTAATCAGAGCCTATAAATCCAAATCCTTCAGCAGCCTTGAGGTTAGCATGAAGGAACAAAGCCTATGGATGGAGACAGAAGAATTGAAGCTCTTGATCTCCTCACCTCTAGTTGACTTTTGCCAACCAGGAATGCCAGCCCAGTGATGTTGGGTCTTCTAATTTTTTAAGAGAAATGATTATAAAGAGATTTACATGAAATCTCTCAAATTTTAAACTTTCGTCAGTAACTCAAATTTTGTTAAACTTTTGTTGTGGATGAAGCAAAACACATCTGCTGGCCAGATGAGGCCTGCAGGCTACAACTTTGCCTCTCAATGGATAATTTTCCAGAGTGATAACTTTGTTCTTGTGTGACGATTCCAGGAAGCTGACAACTCTCAACTCACTCCACCCAAAGCTTTCTAAAAATTTTTTATTCAAATACCCCAGTTCCACTTAGAGGTCTAGTTGACGTTTGAAAAGTTAAATTATCCTCTTCCCATGCCGCATGTATTCTCTCAGTTTTCATCAATACCCACCCAGTGCCCAGTCTGAAATCCAGGGTCATCCCAGACACTTACCGCTCGTCCACAGTCCATCCCATATTTATGGCATCTGTCCTGCACCTTGTCCTTGTTAACCCCTGCCCTTTTCACACCTTTCTTGGGGTGAGTTGCTTGACTTCCTTACGCTTCGTTTTCTCATTTATAATGAGAGAATTGAACTAGATCATTCCTAAGATCTGATCCATTTGTAAAATTCTGCTTAATTAAGTCACCAAATATATCAGAATAGTTGCCTAGAATTTGAGGAGGTCTTTCTCCAGCCATGACATTGCCAAGGATGTTGTGACTAGAATGACTGGAAAGATTGGACTTGATATCCGCTCCCCCGCTGGATTTGGTGGATTGGATTTCATTTGAAAAGAATTTCTGATGTGGCTCAGGTGAATGAGTCCACTAGAGGAGTGAGTGACAAAGCTCATTGACTGTCCCTCAATATCCAGTCTCTTCTTCCTAGTAGCAAACCTCCAACTTTAAGTAATGGAAGGGCCTTATTTTAGCTTGTCGTATATCCAGAAGAAAAACATTTTTTTGAGCTGTGGCCCTTTGACGAAGATCTGACTAATGGCTATAAAAGAAACGTGGCAAGTCATGATGACTATCTTTAAAAAACATCAGTTTCTCTTCTCGTCCTCCTTCCTTTGATTGGGATGCAGATGTGCCAGCTACTTCTAAAGCTGTATGTCAACTTCATGGATCATATGTCATCTTTCAGAGCCTTATGGGAGAGATAAAAATCTGGTCTCTGAGGACTTTTGTTTTGTTTAAAGATTTTGACAGGCTGGGATTGTAATTCAGTGGTAGAGCACTTGCCTAGTATGTGTGAGGCACTGGGTTTGATCTTCAGCACCACATAAAAAATAAATAAAGGTATTGTGTCCATCTTCAATTAAAAATTTTTTTAAAAGATTTTGTCTTTGGGGCTGGGGTTGTGGCTCAGTGGTAGAGCACACTCGCCTGGAATGTGAGAGACCCTGGGTTCCATCCTTAGCACCACATAAAAATAGATAAACCAAATAAAGATATTGTGTCCATATATAATTAAAAAAATTTTTTAAAAAGATTTTGTCTTTGAATTCTAGAATCAGATAACACTTCATTCCATAAAATGAAATAAGTATGTCCCTGAGGATTTTTTGAATAGGGCCACTGTTTAAGTCAGCTTTTTCACTGCTGTGACTAAAGGATCCAACCGAACAACTACAGAGGAGGAAAAGTTTATTTGGAGGCTCATGGTTTCAGGGGTCTCAATCCACAGATGGCAGACTCCATGCCTTGGGGCTCAAGGTGAGGCTGAACCACGTGGCGTAAGGCACACCCGCAATTCCCACCTTCTCTGATCACACCTCACCACTTCAGTTACTACTCCTTAATCCCATCAGGGGATTAATTCACTGATTGGGCTAAAACTCTCAGAACCCAATCATTTCTCCTCAGAACCTTCTTGCATGTCTCCCATATAGCTTTTGAGGGACACCTCACATCCAAACTACAACAGCTACCATACCAATTTTGAACTATCTGCCTCTGTATTTTCCAAAAGAAATAAGCTGCTCTTTTATTGAAGTCACTTTATTTTGGGTCTGTTTCTTCCATCAAATCTAATTCTAACTGATATGAAGATTAGGCATCCCCCCCACACACCCCTCAAAAAAAAAAAAAACAGGAAAAGCATTTGCAGCTTTTATGCAGACCTGATGGGAAGAAACAGGGTCCTCTTGAAGGAGATAGAGACACACATTGGCCTATAAGAAGGATTGCCTGAGGCAGTAACTCCTAAATTCAGTTTCTTAATAATGCAAACACTTGACCATTTCTAGACCCATTCATCAGAGCCTCCCTGGTATCCCCACGTTTCCCTACTAACAGAACCCTTATTCAATGAAGAAAACCCATTTACATGAGTCCACTAGAGGAGTGAGTGACAAAGCTCATTGACTGTCCCTCAATATCCAGTCTCTTCTTCCAAGTAGCAAACCTCCAACCTCAGAGAAGATAGGTCCCTTCTCCAGCCCAGTGGATAAATCATAATAAATTGAACTCGGTTATGAAATCCCATTCCCCTCTACTCCATGTTCATGGTCCTAGCTCTCTTACAGCTGATGATGGCCACGTAGCCAAATCTGGCCACTGAGCCAGAAGGAGAGGTGCCTATGGGATTCTGATGTGTTCTCCTTATGAAAAGATGGTCCTAAGTATCCCACAGGCCTTTGTTTTCTGGCTGTGTTGCTCCTCTCTTTATTGCTGTGATTCCGGCACGGGAGCAGCCATGCTCCTAGTGCCCAGCAGCCATCCTGTGAGCACAGCTGATGGGTGGGAGGGGGACAGTCAACAAGCAAAGGAAGGAGAGGGTGAGGGACAGTCTGAGTCACTGCTCACATAGTTTAGCCACTAAGCCAGGCCCCAGTCTGAGCCCCTCTTAGTAGGGCTTTTGGTGGTTGATGCTTGAAATAATTTTTTTGTTGCTGCTATTTATGATTTTAAGAGAATTCCAGAATTTGGGGGGAGGAGTGGAAGGCAGATTTCCCTCTTCACTATTTTCCATATCAAACCTTGTTTTCCATGCTTAAATAGAAATTGCTGGTGCTCCTACAGTTCCTCGCGTTCTTCTTGTTTCTGTTGTGGCTACTGTCGTCTGGACGGGCTAAAAAGACCCTTACCATGATTTGCTATACTGTAAACAGGATTTAAACTATCTTTAAAATAACTTTTTTGCATACCTGTAATCCCAATATGTTTTTTGGTGTGCTAGTCCCACTCTTTTAGGCTGAACTATAAAGAGTTCACAGACAGGAAAGGGATATTTATGTTCAATAGAAGATGTTATAGAGACACTGGAATTTCTGGGTGTCCTTGGGCCACCAAATCTCCACCCACTAAAGGAAATAACAAAATAATTCCTCACTATTCTATTATTGACATGGCCCCAGCAGCCCACACAACTTCTCCAAGCTTGTGTATTTTTCTCATTCGTACAATGAGGTACTGTCAATATGTCATTTTATGGGATTTGGGGGGAGACAATTTTCAAATTTTTACAGTTCTGACTACCCCCAGATGTAAAATATAGTCACATAAACCCTTAAGCTCTTAGCAAATTTTCCTTTAAAATAAGAAAATTAGGTGCTGGTGTTGTGGCTCAAAGGTAGAGTGCTTGTCTAGCATGCGTGAGGCCCTGGGTTCGATCCTCAGCACCACATAAAGTAAAATAAAGATATTGTGTCCACCTATAATTAAAAAATAAATATTTAAGGAAAAAAATAAGAAAATTAGTCTAAAGCTTGCCTACCATGTCTCTG